AAAAAATTAGCTTTCAGATGACCAGGATATGAAAGGTGCTGCTGGCCGACGTAGCCAATCCCCAATGGACAAATACCAGTATTCTAACAACATAATGGACAGTCAACGTGGAACACCCGTTGGTGCAAGTGATGACGAGTCAAATCGTTCTGCGACAAGCAGCCCACATTCCATAGTTCAAATCCCTGACGAGCCTGTTAATATATATGATGGTACATCAAAACGAAATGACAGTTTACAAGGTAAATATAAAGTTTATTTAAGTGTCATTATGACAGGATATTTGTATTCTATCTTCCATTATTAAAAATGTAACAGTTCCACAGCATTTACTTGTATTTATTTACCACTAGCTGTTCTCCGCGACTTCGCCCACGTATGGAATTATTTTGCGCGGAACCCTAAAATAAAAGTAGCCCAAGTTACTCCTTATAACATCAACTATCTGCCAGTGAAAGTCCCATCCAAATCGGTTCACTGTTTTTTACGTGATGCGTGTTTAGTCAGACGTCGTGTTTTTTTTCGACTTACTTAACATTCATCGTTATATTTTGGCCAATTTACACAATATCTTTATTAATTATAATTTATGTGTTATTCTGATGTATGAGCTACTTATATAATTGTAGTTTCATTAAAATCCATTTAGTTTTTGCGTGAAAGAGTAATCAACATCCTCACAAACTTTCACATTTATTATATAAGTTGACGGCTCCGTGGCGCTGTGGCTTAGCAATGAGTGCCAGCGCTTGGGGCTGCGAGTGCGAGTTCCAATCCTGCACGGAACAAGTATTTGTACGGCCTACAAATAATTATTGGGGTTCTGGATGTTTGTCCTTGTGCAATTTATGTTTGTAAACTGCCTCCACGATACAGGAGAAAATCCTAGTTTGGGGGTAACGTTTTTTAAAAAACAATAAGAATAAGAATAAGTAGGATAGTAGGTAGTAGAAGTAGGATACAATGTCCGCTTTGAAATAACGTGGTTAACTTATCCCATTCCTATAGTGAAGGTATGTGCCATAACTTATTTTTAGAATATTATCAAAGTTACTTGAAATGTTACTGAAACTTCCAGTAGTTAGTGTAATGTTCGTCAATCCGCCTGCCATGTATGACTATTAAGGCAAATCCTAGTTACAATGAGGGAGACCCATGTTCAATAGTGGACAGGTTGAAGATTTGGTACCTTAAATGCTTCTACTTTTATAATTGATGGTGGATTTGAACAAAATATTTACACGAACACTACACAATGAGTAAAACTACTTTAACGGATTCTGTCGCGTTTAACTAACTTATTTTTATTAATGGGTGCTATAAAGCACCCGAAACGTCGGGAATTTATAAAAATACACGATAGAATCTTAGTTTTATTCAAACTATGTTAAGTTTTGCTTCTATAACTTAAGCTATTATCCGCAGGTATTTTCATTTAGAGGAGATATTTCTCATAAACTAGCATACATAAATTTGTAAAGGGGACTTGTTTGTTTGTGTCCTTAAACTTAACTTAAGCTATTATCCGCAGGTATTTTCATTTAGAGGAGATATTTCTCATAAACTAGCATACATAAATTTGTAAAGGGGACTTGTTTGTTTGTGTCCTCAAACTTAATATTGTAAAATGGGCCAAAATAATAAAAACAAATATGTGTAATAATTTTCTGCCACAAAAATACGAAATAATTCGCATAGGAAAAATATATGAATAATGTATATTCAGTTATATAGTATTTGTTTATCAATTAATAAAGTATATTAAACTGCAGATTGTGCTTTTTGAGGTGAGAGAGATCATAGCAAAACAATAACAAACAAATAGCAACTTGTTTATTACTGTAATCGGGGCCAGTTTTAGGCTTATATTTTCTCCTCGCAGACAAAAATATTTCACCGGGTAAACAATTTTGAAATGCAAATGTACGGTTTTCTTTTTGAACTATTATTCTCCTCTTATATTTTTGACCGCGCGGCGTCAAGTATATTGTTTGAAGTCAAACTTTGACTTGACAACAAATAGCTATACTGATATTATAAATCTAAAATAAGACATCAGTGATAGTTTTATTTATATAATTCAACATAGTTGTTTATCAGCAACTGTACTTAACTACCTTGTTGTGGCGTTGGAAGAATGCAACAGAGAGACACAAACCAGGCGATAGACAGCGTCGTCCTTATAACAACTAAAAAATTAAAAAAATTGTTTGCTGACCCTCTTGCCAAGCTTGGCAACTACGGAAAATATCCCCACGATTAGGCAATCTAGCAGAATTATATTATATTATATTCAACAGTGAATTTTTATAGGCTGTAACGGTAACGGTCAGAAAATAAATACTTGTAAGTTCTAAATCCAATCATAAAATTTTAGCTGCACAAGCATCGCGGAAGGGTTTCAAACCAGTGGACCACTCTAACGTTTTAACGAATTTCGACCACGACGAAAATAAATACAAACAAAAATCAACATTTGCCTGGATAAACAGATGGTGGAAGTGAGTATAATTCCATTATAGTACACTTTTACACTTACATTTGTAAAATATTATTATTTATTTATATACATATCTAAAATATTTATTATAATAAAAATTAATTTATCTGATTGTCCCGTATGTGTTCATATATCATTTATAGTTTCTGATAGCAGTCCCATACCATTCATGTAATTATGATAAAATTGTGGTATGTAGTTGTATGCGCTCCCGCGAATTTTGCAGACAAAAATAATTAAATATACCAATTAAAAAAAAAATTAAAATTGGGTCTATCTTTCATTTTTTTAATCGGCTTATATCTGATTTATGATATTTTATTTGATTTATAAGTTGTTGCATAAAATGATGTCTATGAAGCAGTGGCGGCGTAGCGTGGGTTTGGCACCCAGTGCGGTTTTCTATCAAGCACCCCCCAGAATAAAACAAAATGCTAAACATGCTTACTGGACTTTATTTTACAAAATTATGCTATTCATCATCATCATTACAGTCCTTCACAAGTCCATTGCTGAATTAAGGCCCCTAAAGAATGCCACAAAGCACGGTCCTGAACCACCCGCGAACAACTTCCTATATGTCTTACCAGGTCATCTCTCCAACTAGAGGGGAGCCACCCCACACTTCGCGTATCGGTGCGAAGCTGCCACTCGAGAACCTTGCTAGAAGAACTGACAACCAATTTGAAATTGGTTGTCGGTTCTTCTAGCTATATGGCCGGTACATTGCCATTTCAGCTTACTAATCCGTAGGGCTATGATGGTTACTCTGGTTCTACTGCTAATATCCTCATTTCTAAGATCTCTAAGGTCTCTCCATAGATCGCCAAGCGACCTTTAGCTTCCTCATACGGCCAGCAGTGAAAGACCACGTCTGAAACCCATAAGTCATCCACTGGCAACACGCACTGGTTGTACAATCTCATTGATTTAAGTTTTGAGGTATACCTGACGAGAAGATGTGACGATATCTCCCGAACGCTGCACAGCCGAGTTGAATCCGTCGATCGATATCTCGGTCGAAGTTGGGCTTATCTAGGAATATTTGTCCCAGGTAAACATACTCGTCAACAACTTCGAGCTTAGTGCTCCCAACAACTACCGGCATTTCGGCCGGAGTAGTGCCATCGTGGAGAATGGAATTAAGAAGCTTCTGAAGAACTTCAATATCAGTTTTCTACGCACTTTCAGAAGCTCCGCTGTAATTCCATCCTCACCCGGGAACTTGCCTTTTTTAAGGTACTGGAGAGTCATTCTAATTTCGCTCAAACTGACGTCCGGAATAGTGTCGGACTTGCTCTTGGATCATTTTTCACACTTGCGTGTGTCTCCAACGACGACGTGTACAGCACAGAATCTATCAATCTCTCTCTAATCTCAGGTATCCCAGAAGGGTGTCACATTTGTTCTACAGCTTCAACAGTTGGCTCTTTCTGGCAGACAGATCTCCAGCAGACTTTGGGGCCCTGCTTCCGTCCAATCGCTTCTTCAATAAGAGCTATATTGAAGTTACGTCGAAGTTGCGTAAGTCCCGATACTGGCATTTGGAAATCTGTCTATTCAGTTATCTGTATGCTGTCAAATCTGCTGAAGATTACAGCTTCATTTCCCGTCTAACAGCCATGAGATTAAGAGTGTGATTGGAGAGTTTTTGTATTCTTCTACGACGGATGTTGCAAAACTTAGCTCCGAACTTAGCTTAGCATGGACAGTTTCGCCATCGTAGTCATGAATAGCGGAGCCGCTGGGTACTGGGTGCCGATTTTTTAGAATTAAAATTAGAATTTGCGATACCTATTAAGGTATAATATTTGTAGGAAGATAGATACTATAGTAGGTAGCTATTTATTTATTGGTATGTCTTTGCGGAGTAATTCTTTTGTAAGAATTCTCTGGCTGTGTGAGTGAGTTGTCTTTGTCACCCCTAGGTGCTTGCTGCTTGGCACCTGGGGCGTTTTTTCAAACTTACCAGAGAGAGAGAGACATATTATGATATCTATGTTAAAAGTATATTTAACCATAAAATTTATATTGACAGGAATACACTTCCCACTTCACGAGTGAGAAGAGCCGGTGGCATCTATAAACGCTATTGGATTTTATTGTTTGTGCTGATTGCAGTCATAATTATTTTATTGCTTCTTAGTCATCGAGATGTTGATGAAGATACTCCATTTGGATTTGTTCAAGTTGAAGATGGAAGAATATTACAGAAGAACTAATTTATTACACCCATTATATTTAAAAAAATATCTTGTCTATAAAATCAAGCAATTTTTAAAGTGATATGCATATTAAGTTTAATTGTATGAATATTTATCTTGTACAATTTTAGGAATTAAAAACTTAAAAAATTTTAACTTAAATTTTTTATTTTACATACTTCGTTAAAATATTATATTTATACAAATTGGTATAACATTTGATGTCTTAAGATTTTTATATAACATTTCAAAAGTAGACTTAGCATGGTAAAAGTTAAAATTCACAGCATAATATTTTAGAGTATTTTGGTGCAAGAGCCAACCTCTCTATCCAAAAACAAAACGGAAAAAATATCATTATAAAAATCAGGGTAGTATTCACAGGCACGACGGCAATCTGGCATCCAGTTGATTTCTAAAAGCTTGGGCTGCATTATTGTAGAGTTGTTAATAGTATCCCAGCTAATCATTAAATCAGCCGCATATAATGCTCTGGATTGTGGACTTTTAGCAATACCACATGGTGCTTCCTTAGAGGTTGCTGCTGTAAACAATTCAGCAAACACCTTAAATATTGACTTCTCAACTTGATCCCAAATATAATCAGGATACTGTTGTTCCCAAGCCTGTTTAAATTCTGCACACAGCATCCTGAACAGTGGGGCATCATCTGTATAATTCATAACTGTAAAATGTTGTTCATAATCTTCAAAGTTGTTAAGTGCAAATGCTTTATTAGAAAATCTAAGAAAGAAATTGTTGTAAACGTAGATTTCTGTGGGATTAACTGATTTTAATAGAATAACATACCGAATGTCAAATTTTACCAAACCCACATCAGGTCTTTCAAATAAAACAGGATTATGTACATATTTCTGGGCAATTTTTGGTCCTGTTAGGGGTAATCTACACAAAAAATTAAGATTGTCAGTAATATAAGTATCCAATCCTCTGGCTAAGTTGTATGGCTTACAGATCCAATGGTTATCAAACCCCTTTTGCTTCCGCTGCATATAACAGGCTACAAGTTTGGGTAGCTCTGTTTTCATATTAAAGGTTGTAGGTAACCAGGCAGGTGTTGTTTCAAATGTGTCTCTAGAAATGTTTCCATTTAGATTGCTACACCTTCTTGATACAATAGCTAAAAGATCTTTAACAGTAATGACATATTCAAAAGGAAATTGATTTACAAATTTAGATGGAGAATTTATACTTAATTCCTCAAAATTTTTAAAATGGTTTATAAACCACAAAATATCTGCTTCATTTTCATTTTCAACTATTTCAAATTCAGGTGCAGTTAAAAACTCATTAATTAGAATGTATTCTGAGAACACTTTCAATTTACCAGATGAAATTTGCCTTAATTGTAACATATCTAAATTAGGAAGCGTTTCTACAATATGGCCTTCCAAGAAATAATTCTTATCTGGTTCCTCTTGGCTAAGATCTTCATTAAAGTGATCATAATGTTTCCAAGGTATCAGCATAGCTTCTCTCTGAAGCGGATCAGGATAGTGTCCCTCTACAAAATTCCTGGTAATTGTGTCACCTTCTTCCACATTTTTAATTGGAAAAAGTAAAGTATAAGTTAGCTGATCAGGCACATGAATGAATGGAACTGCACGAAAGTTTGGATTATCAGAGTGTATTATACCAGAACCTAACTCATCTAAAACATACCACACAGGCACCCTGTCTTCTACAGAAAATTCACTACCAGCAACAGCATAGGTGTGGGCATATAGCCATATACTTTTAGAAACTTTGTCTATTTTTTCCTCCGTACTTTCACCAGCTATTTGCATAAGTTTACACATTCTTTCTAAAAGACCTGGTACATTTCTGAGATTACTTTTTACGCTATTTGCTTTAAAAGTCCACGCGTGATCTATGAGATAAATGTGATCTGAATCCGATTTGTCTATATCGCGGATAGCCATTACACTCCAAATAGGATCATAGGGCATTTTATTTTCATCTTCATAATCAATTTGTACCAACTGAAAAGCCAGACCGGAGTCAAAAATTTGATCCCGTAATTTCTTGCTTAGAATCTGCCAAAAATGTTCTGGGACACCCGATAAAACTAGTTGGGGTTTATGAAGTGCTATAAATGCATTATAGCTGGATATTCCATCCATGTTGCTTAAAATAAAACAAGACCAACTGAAAAACTCGAACCGAAAAGGTTAATTTATTTTTATTTTTGTATAAAATGCGCGTGCGTGACAATGACATATTATGATTTATTTTTTTCTTTTGGAATGGACTGTGGACTCGTACGGTTGTACTTTTGCCAATGTAAAAGAATAGTAAAATATCCTTGAAAATAATTCGTTAAAAAACTTCTCCACAATATGTTGATACATCACATTGCTGAGTTTTTGAAAGATTTCAACAACTACTACTACTGCTAATAATAATATGTTTAGTCATTTTATTCATACATTTATGAAACGTAAAGAATTACTTGTAACAGAAGTTCACGCTCTTCCACAATTATTTCGTTTTACCAGGCCTGTCTCACTCCGCGCTTTAGGCATGAAAATATACCTACGCTCCGCGGCCCCATAGAAGGTACTAATTCCATGAGGTTGTCAGGCGCGTGCTCGAGCTGACGCGTGCTTTACGTTTACAAAAAAGTATTTTTCTCTTATAAGATTTAATTTTAAATTTACTACGTACTTATTTTGCAAATAAAGTTTGTTCTAATTTATAATATAGTTCAGTGGAAAAACATGTAAGCGGTGTTAATAAAATTTTCCTTCTGGGCGTGGATGCTCAGGCTGTCCGTGTATTCTTGGGGGGGGGGGGGCACAGCTCTGCTCGGTACATATTCTACACGAAGCGAACGGAGCAAAATCACTATGGCACTCCATCTCATGCTCTCTGTGGATTTCTGCAAAATCAGAGGACTTCATTCAAACCTTAACCCTGTCTGCCACCATCTCGAGATGGCTAAGTCTGCTCGAGTTCGGCTTGCTCTTTCTCACCGAGACATAGTTCTCTCTGGCAGGCTGGAGTTTGTGAGTATGACAGAGAGGATCTGTTATCGACGCCTCGGTAGTCTCGAAGGCTGTACATCCTATGGCTACGCATAGACGGCGACGACCACCCTCGCTCGTCTATGGATGCCTTTATAGGTTCCACAGCGGTAATGCCAAGACAGACCGATTCCTCAAGCACTTTCATGATGACTACAGATTCAATCTGTCGCCGATGTCGTGCTTCAGAAGATGGAAATTATCATCCCGTCATATGTAGTGCCTATCGGCTGCAGATCCCAGCCTTAGTTTGGTCGCTCCTGCAAAATTTCGTCGCAGCAAAAGCAAGAGTGTTACAATGTCTGGGCCGATGCATCGGCAAACTCTGCCTCCAGGTTCTTTAAAAGAGTTATCACTGGGGCAAAGTCGGATCACGTTGAAAGAATTGGCGAGAAACTAGTTCGCCTTCCTTCGGGAACTTGTGCATTCCGTTTTCCCGCCAAGACTACCCAAGGGAATTTCTGTAAGCCATCATTACTATTTCTGCGCAGGTAGGATGACACGCTGGCCCACGCCGCAAACGAGAAAACTGATCTTTTAGGTAACTCGACTCTCTACGATCGAAGGAATCTACCGCCGACATCTCGCAGTGTTCCTGGACGTCCATAAGTGGAGTGAGCCTGATGGAATCTCCCCAATTGTGATTAAGATGTGTGTACCAAAGTTAGCACCAGTTCTTACGCGTTTTTTTCGGTTCTCATGAAAGACAGCCTTAGTGGACTCGATCCCTAAAAAATATGATTCCTATCGCATTCACCTCCTTCTTCGCTAAAATTATGGAATCCATTATTAACTGCCAGATCATGAGGTACCCTGAAGAGCATCAGCTGATTAGTTACCGTCAATACGGTTTCTGTCGAAGTAGCTCAATTGGTGATCTTCTTGTATACCTTGTCTCACCGTTGGGCCGAGGCAGTGGAGACCAAGTGGAAGGCCTAGCGATTAATTTGGATTTAGCGAAGGCTTGGATTTGGCATAAAGCGCTTCTTTTAAAGCTTCCCTCTTATGAGCTTACGGAAAAATTATGCAATTAAGTCACCAGTTTTCTTACAGATCGGAGTATTAAGATCGTAGGCGACGGTGCATGCTCCGACTCCAAGCCTGGGAATAATGGTGTTCCACAAGGCTGCGTGCTATCGCCTACCCTGTTCCTTATGAATATCAATGATATGTTGCATACTAGTAACATTCATTGTTATGCAGGCAGCACAGGCGATGTCTTGTACACCGGCCGTGCTAATATTTCTTGGGAACACGAGAAATATTAATACGGCCGTTTCGAGTGCCGGAATAAACTTGTCTGAAGTAGTCTTTCTAAATCCAGTTCAGTTTAACCTCCAAAAGACATAGGTTTGCGCGTTTACCACAAAAAAAAACCCTTTGTCGTATTTTCTCAATTTTAGGGTATTTCCCCTCGTTGCCTCAGCCTGCATCGGAATCCTTGGCGTCGACATTTTTTTAGATGTACCTTATTCAACGCAGAAAATTAAAATATTGAATAAAGATTATTCCATTCTGTGTACCAAATTCCCGCCAAAACTTCCAATCAGTCCTATTGGTTTTTGGATCTTCATGTGTTTATAAAGTACTCTGTGGTTGGGTTGTCGTTTGTATCTAATTTATTTTATTAAGGGTTAATAATGTTATGAATCATATTATAACTTATGATATGAATGATATCATAACTTATGATATCTTAACTTGCATAAATCGTCATACTGAATAGAGCGTTTTGGTTTTTAACAAACCAGATTGCGGTTTCTAACCGCCTGCCAATCGCGTCAACGCACTTATAAGGTAGTGTATGGGAAGGCTTTGTTCAGCAGTAGACTTTGAATGGTGGTATTAATGATTAATTGATGATGAAAAGTCTTAGAATTAGACCTCAATGCTATGTCAATTTTAAATCACAAGTGGACTGATAATCCATTTGATGGTACATGGACGTCTGTTACCAATTTCTTAAAAAAAGGGAGTCTACAAAGGCGTTACCGCCTCTAAGGAATAAATAAGTTTTTGCCTTTATATCTTTAGATGTTATGGTGTTCTTTCGTAAAAACAATTGAAAAAAATCGCCGTCGAAGAATAATCGAACACTGCGCAGAAACGTGCCGTATGGTGGCGGCGGAAGAGACTATCACCCATCGTCCAGTGGGTGTCGTAAAAGGCAGAAAATGGGGGACGAGACTGTTTGCTTCCGTAGGAAATACTTAAAATCTGACACCCTACACGTGTCCCCCGGGTAGTGCTAAATGAGCAGCACCAATTCCGGTGATAGGTTTCGGCCGCTGGCTTTTCGGTTACCATCCACCAATGCAAAGTCTTGCCGCCAAATGACTTTGTCGTGTTCCGGCATGATGCTTGGTGAAGCCATATGGAGAATGGGTCTGAACAGTAGCGTTGTGTATGTAAACCGGGTACGAAGTGTCAGTTGTTGCTGTGTCGGGTGCTTGGTCGTGGTGGGTAGCGGGATCCGAAGCACGGTGTTCCGCTGGCCGACCGCAGGTAGTTGGGGCCCCAATTAGTGAATAAGCTACCCATGAAAGGCTGCCCCGCCAATTGGCGAAAAATCCTAGGGTGGCTCCATCGTGCCGGTTAGCGACCGGGAGAGAGGACCCGATGGCGATCTCGGGGGGGGGGGGGAGGTTCGGGCCCAGATCAAGCTCCCATGGGCACAGTAACTCTGATAGTATCGTTTGGTTGCTAATGCAACGCCTCGCTCAACTGCCATTCTCCATCCTTATTCACTCAACACTTATGTGCATTAAAAAAAAAGTAGTGTTAAACAGCGGTTGCACGACCTCCCACTAAAAGTGCACCTCACTAATATTCGAGGATTGCACTCTAATCTCAGTGCAGTCCATCACCATCTTGAGACTGAAAAGCCCCACCTACTTTTCTTGACAGAGACGCAAATTAGATGTCCATTGAATGCGGCGTACCTTGACTATCCTGGATTCTCCCTGGAGCACAAATTCCATCCACGTGCCGGAGTATGTATAAACGTTCGCAATGACATCTGCTTCCAGCGTCTCTGTCACTTTGAAGACCCCACTTTTTCGGCAATCTGGGTGATGGTAGATACAGGTATTGATAAAATTCTTTATGCTTGTGTCTATCGATCGCACAGCGGTGACCAGGAGACAACACGATTATTTGATCACCTTAGTGAGGCTGCTGACGTGGCCCTAAATCGGTATCCTACTGCACAGTTGGTATTTCTGGGGGGATTATACGCTTATCACCAAGACTGGCTGTTCCCATACCAAAAGACCGACCATGCTGGAAGAGAAGCGTGGAATTTTGCATTGACGCTAGGTCTTTCTCAGATGGCAAATGTGGCGACTAGGGTACCCGATGTAGACGGTCACACAGCAAATTGCTTGGACCTTCTGTTGACTACCGAATCAGGCAGATATGAAGTATAGGTTACTTCTCCTTTGGGTACATCTGACCACTGTCTCGTGAAATCTGTATCGTCATATTCTCCACCTGATTACGAATCCCAAGGTGTTCGACGAAATGGCGGTATAAGTCAGCTGATTGGGATAAGATGCGACATTTTTTTGCATATTATCCTTGGCGGGAGGTATGTTTCTCTTCTGCGAATCCGTCGAGCTACGCGGTTGCGATAACGGATGTGTTGCGTCAGGCTATGGAGTATTTTATCCCCTCGCTCCCACCGGTAGCAAAGCTCGCCCATGGTTTAACGCTGAATGCGCCCAAGCTGAAAAGCGTAAGCATTTAGCTTACCTATCCTGGGTTAACGCTCGAAAGCGCAAAGCTTTTTTAACGTGGTAGAGCCATGCTGCAGCTATAGTAGTAGTATAGTTGTAGCACGAATGGGTCGGTTCGACCGGAGAAGGACCACGCTCTCACAGAATACCAGCGTAAAATAGCAGCTTAGCACTGCCTGTGTTTCGTATGGTGAGTATAGAGAACCGGAGACCCTTTTCACTGGAAAAGATGCATTCCATCTTAGTCCTCACGGGTGACAACGCATCTGCATTTTGAGTCTTTATTGGGGATGGATGTAGATGTCTATGGGTCACAGTAACCACTTACCATCAGGATCAGGTGGACTGTGTGCTCGTTTGTCACCCTATCCTATAAAAGAAAAGCTCCGGATATTAGCTCCAAGAAGAGAACTTCATCAACCGGACTGCCATGTTCTACAAAAAAGCATTACGGAAATCTAGTCTCGATCGCATTAAACATATTGGCGCAAAACTCTCTGTCAGACAATCCGGCACTAGAGCTTTTTGGTCTTTCGCCAAAGCGGTCGAGACAAACTTCTGTCGGCCTACACTGCCCGTTTTCACGTCTGGACAGTGGCAAAAACGTTCCACCAAAATTACCTCACTGCGGGACCTCTATGTCGGAGATTCGTATAACAAATAAGGAGGTTCTTAAAACCTTGCGGTGTCTAGACGTGAATAAAATTAGTGGACCAGATGGTATACCTGCTATAGTTCTAAAGGCTTGTGCACCTGAGTTCTCTCCTGTGTTAACACGCTTGTTCCTCCTCTCATTTAGGACTGGAATAGTGCCAAAATCCAGGAAACTGGCCAACGTGCAGCCTGTTCCAAAAAAAGGCAGCCGTGCCGACCCTGCCAATTATCGGCAAATCTCAATTACCTCCATACTCTGTAAGATTATGAAGTGTATATTGAATGGCCGCTTTTTTTTAATAGGATAAGGATGACAAACGAGCACACAGTCCACCTGATGGTAAGTGGTTGCTGTGGCCCATAGACATCTATCTTCGATTAAGAATCAAAATGCAGATGCGTTGTCACCCATGAGGAATAAGATGGAATGCCTCGTTTCCAGTAAAAAGGGTCTCCGGTTCTCTACACTCACCATACGAAACACAGCAGCGTTAAGCTGCTATTTTACGCTGGATTAATGGCATACGTAGAACAGAATGACCTCCTTAGTGACGGGCAAAATGGTTTTCGCCGAAATCGGTCAGCTTCTAGCGTATGGCACACACGTAAAGGGGCGAGGCACTCGAGAACAGTTGGTAAGCACTTGCTGTTTCCCTTGATGTCTCGAAGGCCTTTGGCAGAGTTTGGCACACTAGCCTTTTGGGTAAGCTTCCAGCGTACGGCTTATCGCCTGGTCTGATTGAATGGGTAAAGGACTTTTTGAGTGAACCGTCTCTCCGGGTCGCCGTCGATGGCTGCTGGTCCGATCCTATGGTGACTAACGCCGGTGTTCCTCAGGGGTCCGTTCTCTCCGCAACTCGCTTCCTGCTGCATATTAATGACCTGCTTATGCCCGGTATCTATGGTATGCAGACCATAGCACAGTTGTTAAGAGATACCAACTAAGTCCTCGGGCCAGTCGGGATCAAATCCAGTCCGGAAGAGAAGCTATGGTAGAGCGTGTGAATCTCACACTACAGGCAGTCTGCGAATAGGGCGATGCCAATCTTGTGAAGTTCAACGCCTCCAAAACACAAGCGTGTCTCTTGACTGCAAAAAGAAGCCAGCTCACCTTGGCTCCTTCTTTCCGAAATGTATCACTGAAATATACCGACCGCCTTCAGTTGTTAGGGCTTGAAATATCCTCATATTTGAACTTCGGGCGGTACATTGAGTCCAAGGCCAAAGCAGCTGCAAGGAAACTGGGAGTCCTTGCAAAGGTACGGCGATACTTCACGCCGGGACAGCTGCTTACTTTATATAAAGTGCAAGTCCGGTCATATATGGGCTGGTGCTGCAAAATGCCACCTAGCACCTTTGGACTCAATGGAAAGGCGTGCTAAAAGGCTTATTGGTGACCCGAATTTGGTTAAAACCAATCTTACCAGCCTCAAACACAGACGTAAAGTAGCCAGCCTTTCGGTTTTCTACAGGATGCATTTCGGAGTGTGCGCAGGAATTGCATAATTTAATTCCTCCCTCTCCCTTCCAACATCGGACAACCAGACATTCGGCCAGTCTCCACCCTTTCGTTGTTGACTTACCACGCATTTGAACCAAACGGTTCGCCACGTCCTTCATCATGCGTACAGCAAAGGAGTGGAATAAGTTGCCAGCATCTGTCTTTCCATCCGATTACAGTGTGGATGTCTTCAAGGCAAGATTGAATAGGCTTTTGTTAAGTCAGTGCGTTTCACCATCTTAGGCTACATCACCACATACTATCAGGTGGGATTGTAGATAAGCGCTGGCTTAGTAGAATGTTAAAAAAATGCTAAACAATTGTATATAACTGCCGATAGATGGCATTTAAGAGGAGCAGCGTCAAAGTTGCGAGGTGGCGGGTACTGCCATCTGCAGTCCCGAGATCCTGCCAAGCATGACGAATAAGGCACATTCCTCCTTTTACGGAATAGACCCCATGTCTGCTGGGCCATTATATAACGATGATCTGGGACTTCCAGTCATGAGTTCCTGCCAAGTGTGAAGGTTAAGGAAAATCTTCACCATATGCACGAGACCCATGTCCAGCAATGGTTTTTTATAGGCTATATTATATGGCCTCCGTGGCGTAGCGTCTTAGCAAGAAGTTGCTGCACTTATGGATCGCGGGTTTGAATCCCGCACGGAACAAGTATATGATGTTTGTCTTTATGAAATTTATGTATATAAACGCTACAAGATACAATACAAGAGAAAATCCTAGTGTGGTGGCAACGTTTTTTAAAATTACAATTAAATGAAAACATTGAAAATGAACTGCGCGGAACTATTGTCTAATGTAAAAATGTCATAAATCTACAATTTAAGAATAAACCATCTTTGAACCTTGTAATACAAAATTTTACAACAGACACCTTTTTGGTGGAGGTTATTAACTTTTAATGTGAGCTTAATAACACAAGCCTGGAAAAATTAACACTACTATCCTGTACAGTACGTATCAACTTAATAACGAGTATTATTATAGGAAATTAAGCTTTGAGCGAGGCCACAGAATACCAGTTTAAGAACAAAATATTTTGACACAGTAGTTAAAATCTTGCGTTTTGGTTGAAAAAATACGACACATTTTTATATTGTTTATTTATTCCTTCTTGGTTGCATACTAACAACCATTACAGGAAAAGTGATGTTTCTTACGAACTAGTTAAGTTATTTGATAATAGATCACATATATTTTATATATATATAATAATAAACTATAAGATAAGCATAGGCAAGGGCCTGCTACACACCAATTTCTGAGATCGCACCAACAGACAACTTTAAAAAAATGTTGGCAATGATAAGACTAGTATATAGGCATTAAATTGGAAAAAAGTTTTGGCGCGTAAGAGAGCCCACCCACAAAATGTAGGTACATCTAGAAAGTTTTTCTTAAGTATAACAGTAGTGCATTAAACAGTCTCCACTTAGAGTAGAACAACTAGAATATCATTATGGAACACAATTTAACAACTATCTATGAAGTTTTCAGTTTGAGTCAGAATCCATGTGATTCCTGTAATTGCGGCGTGCTTTCTTTACACGTTGTCGAAATTTAGCAGCTTGGTATTCCGGATCGTCCGACACTTCGTCGGCACAAGGCTGGGAGTTTCTTGTACTGCTGCCCGCAAATGTTCCGACTCCACTGTCGGGTGTTCCCAACGTGTGTGGTGCGGGCCATACACTGCTTTCGGTACTGCAGCTGCTCTCGAGTTCACTTTCATTGGTCTCATTCATGAGTCTTGCGACTGTCGTGTTGTATTTAGGCGACAATCTTTCCGCAGTAGAGGTTGTCGCTCTATCGGTCTGCTCTTTGGGCGGTGGGGACTCGCTAGAGTCAGACCGGTGTATGCTAAGCCGGCCATTCCGTCTTACCCTTCTTAATGTCATTCGCAAACGACTTTCAGGCGGTGGCGTCGAGTTATTGCTTTCTGATTCTGGCGGTTCCACTCGGAGCGAATCGCCTAACGAGTCCCGTGAACCATTAATGGGTGTCGGGATAATGCTGACGAGGTTATTGGGAATGTTATGGTTGCCGTTTTGGTTTCGTGGCGATATCGGTCGACTGCCCACCGACTGGTCGTCGTCCGAATCCACCTCGGCTATCCGGAATAGCGCTGAATTTTGTCCCCTGTAACCTGTAATGAGAGAAACAGAAAAGTATAATAATACGATTCATAAACGCGATACAACTATTAACTATATATTTTACACCACATGACCTGACTTGATAAGGCTATAGGCAATCCATCTGAAGATACAGCCTATACAGGTCACACAAATAATATAATGTAATGTATTTCTATGTATATATATATGTATTATTTTTATATTTTCAATGGTTTCCAAAATAATTCTATAATTTTTAATGTATATATGTATTTATCCTTATTTGCAATTAAGACAAACTGATTTTTGCGATTTACAGTAAAACGAAAAGCAACATTGTTAAAATAGTTTGGTAGGGCGTTTATTCAGAAAGGATTTTTTTTAACTTAAAACTGACTTGCACGGTCGGTCTTTACAGTCCTATATACTTCAATATTTTACATTACAATGTCACACATAAGTTGTTTGCCTTTACTTTTCCAGAAAGAAATTATTAAAAAATAATTATTTTCATTTCGCCCAAGAAACAGAAACAAAACACAATTAACAACACAAAACAAATTAGAAATAGCTTGGTAGCGATCACCTCATTCCCAGGATTTATTATCATCCATCCAAGAGCCCTCCGCACCTGCTGTATCCAGGATCAGGATCTTTGACAAACATTGAACACCTATGTTGTGTCGAATGTGCAAAAACTCAACCAAAAAAAGTTAGAAATATAAATTTTTATTTAAATTGTTATAATTTCTTGTTTTTGCACGTACTTCGTTTATTTTCCTTAAAATAAGAACAATAATAACCTTAAACTGACAGCTGGTCATAAAAATTGACATTCATAGAAGAAGTTCTCAATAAATCAGACATTATTTTAAGGCTTTTTCTCTTTCATTTCTCGTGTATTGTTGAGGTAGTTAACATACAATAATTGCACAAGGACAAACATCCAGATCTGGAACACTTATTTGTAGGAAATACAAACAAGTCTATGCAGGATTCGAACTCACGGCACTCAGCGCTGCATTTCAATGACAAGTCACTGCGCTACGGTGCCACCGCTTACTATTATCTTGCGCGTGTAGTACAAATCATATTATACAATTACCTGTACTGGTACTTGGCAGCGCTAAATTGTCTTCAAATTGATTAAAATTAGTAAAATTATTATTATCACTACTGTCTTGAGCCATTGCTGTTCCTGCAATAATTATAAATTATTAATTAATTCCTTTGTTATTTTTAATAAAATATTTTTTCATAAACATTCAGCTTACCATTATTCTTTAAATTCATAACTTTCCTATAACTAGTGGTTTTTGTTTTTCTTTTTGTAGTCCTCGATAAATTCATTCTTCTTCGCAGTGGTCTGATAATCTGCAACAAAAAAAATTAAATGGGTCAAAATTTTTAATGAAATTTCAGACAATTAAACTTTTGTTTCTTTGTAGCAGTTTATACAGTTCATTTTAATACAGGTTAGAACTACTACAACTAAGTTAGAATCGAAACCATTAATAAGGGTCTTTCATCATCATTACACCCTTTCATAAGTCCACTGCTGAACATAGGCCTCCCCCAAGGAATGCCACAAAGCACGGTCCTGAGCCACTTGCATCCATCGACTTCCTGCATGTCTTACCAGGTCGTCACTCCATCTCGTGGGGGGTCGTCCTACACTTCGCCTACCGGTACGAGGCTGCCACTCAAGAACCTTTCTTCCCCATCGGTTGTCGGTTCTTCGAGCTATATGGCCGGCCCACTGCCACTTCAGCTTACTAATCCGTTGGGCTTGTCGGTTACTCTGGTTCTACTGCGGATATACTCATTTCTAAGTTTATCACGCAGAGAAACTCAGGTTCTGTACTCGGATAGTCATCGTAGCTGTACTGTACAAGCACTTCAGCACTTCGATATACCGACAGTCAACTTGGCACCGCTGAAGGGACTGCAGCACCGCCCAAATTTCGACAGAATCAAAGGCTTTCTCATAATCCACATACGCCAGACATAGTGGCAAATTGTACTCTTCTGACTTCTGTACAATTTGCCGAAGGGTATGTATGTGGTCTATGGTACTAAAGCCCTTTCGGAAACCACATTGTTCGGGAGGCTGGAAGTCGTCAAGTCTTCGCGCGAGACGATTCGTAATGACTCTTGAAAACAGCACGTAGACGCGGCTCAGAAGGGAAATCGGTCTGTAGTTCTTCAAGAGAGCGTTGTCACCTTTCTTGAAGAACAAGACCACCGCACTTCTGCTTCACGCCTCCGGTGTAATGCCACCATGGAGGACGGAATTAAAGAGCTTCTGAAGGACTTCAATTACCTGTTTTCCACCCGCTTTCAGAAGCTCCGCTGTAATTCCATCCTCGTCTGAGGCCTTGCCGTTTTTAAGGTGCTGGAGAGCCATTCTAATCTCGCTCAGACTGGGATATCTTCGGAATAGTGTCGGATAAGACTCGCTCTTGGATCGTTACTCACACTTGCGTGTGGCTCCAACGATGACGTGTACAGCTGCCCATAGAACCTCTCAATCTCATTCAAAGTCTCAGGTGCCTCGGAAACGATGCTGGCACACTCGGTCTTCAGCCTTGACAGTTGGCTCTTTCTGGTAGACAGATCTCTGGCAAAGACTTTGGAGTCTTGGTTCCGCTCGATCGCTTCTTCAATACAAGTTGTATTGAAGTTGCGTAAGTCCCGCCGCATGTATTTGGAGATCTGTCTGTTCAGTTGCCTGTATGCTGTCAAATCTGTTGAAGAATGTAGCTTCATCTCCCGTCTAACAGCCATGAGATTGAGAGTGTGATCGGAGAGTTTTTGTGTTCTTCTGCGGGTCTTTAGTTCTCTAAAATTATAATAATAATAATTTAATTAAATTATAATAGTAATAATATATATTAAAATATAATATACAAATACCCCTTTATCAAGCAAACTACGAGGGAGGCCTATGTTTAGCAGTGAAGTTTAATAGGCTGTAACGGTAGCAATAATTTTTGCCGTTTACGGGCTTGCAAAAATTTTTTGGAAGGAAGTTCCTTATCGGACAGTACGAATTTGGCGGAATAGACGGAAGTAGACGGCATTGGTGGCTAAAAAGAAGCGAGATGCAATAATATCCATCTCCCTCGCCTTAGATTATTAATAAGTCATCGCGCGCTCTGATTAGATACCGCCGGCGCTCTTGTACAATGCGGCAACAAATACTACGCCGAAATCGGCGTACCCGAGCCAGTCGCGTTGCAATCAACGTGGGAGGTGGACGAACCGAATGTTTTATTAAATTTTGATCATAATCCGAAGTAAAATACCAGTTTACGTAGTGAAACTGTGTAAAAATAATACTACAAGAAATAAGAAAGATACTGGGATCACATACTATCAGTATCATACAATTTCGAAATTTCATCGTAAAATAACACGAGTCATAAATAAGTCACAAAATATGAATGACGCCATTCAGTGTTGCCGCGTACAAAAATAAAGTTCCCCGTGGCTAAGATTTTTATATGTGAATTTATTGTTACTATATTTTATAATATATTATAACACAACCTAATTCTATATTATTTAATGTTTATTTCTGTAGTATTGCTCAAATGACCTAATTTCCGTTTATTACGGTTCCGTACCCAAAGAGTATCAACGGGACCCAAGTCTCCTCTATCGTTCCGTCTGTCTGTCAGCAGGCTGTTTCTTATGAACCGTAATATGTAAATGCTTGAAATTTTCACAGAATATGTTTTTATTTTGCTGCTATAATAACATAAACTAAAATAAAATATTAAAGGTCCCTAAAAAAATTACAAGAAACGTGATTTTTTTTCTGTATATGTTTTGTTTACAGACTGTAGCGAATCCTGGATTAACACGCAATAAAATGATGCTGTGTGTATGGTGGGATTGAAAGGTTCTCGTTTATCATGAGCTTTTACCACCGGGTAAAACCAATTCGGATCTCTACTACCAACAAATAATGAGACAAGCAAGAAATAGAAAAAGGAAACGGCCGGCATTGATAATCAGAAAAGGAGTGGTCTTTAATCATGATAACGCCAGATCACAACATTAGTTATCTGTTTGAGACTTTCAATACACACGAACATTCCTAAAAATCCAGTATTTGCTTCAGTACTTAAAACTGGTTTAAAACTTGTAATCATTATTTCTTTTGTTGCTTGTGTTCTTTAAAAGAAAGCTTTCTGGAGGTTTTAATATTTAAGTTTATAATCGTTGTTTCGCATGTTTTAAATAATTAAGATTTTTATCCATTATAAATGGGATGACTAAATCCATGTTCCTTCAAATCTCTGGTATCCAGTATATCAAATAACACTAAATGTGGCATTTTTTTTAATCAAAAATCCCAAGATTTCTACAGCAACGCGTTTATGTACTACGTACAAGATGGCAACAAGTTATCGAATATATTACTGGTATAGTTGTAGCACGAATGGGTCAGCTCGACCGGGGAAGGACCACGTTCTCACTAGAGTCTTGTGTAGTTCGCGAACGATGAACGATTAGGAAACGTATCTTGCCACTGTACTAGAAGAAACGTTTCCGAATGCCGATTGTTAATCGGTCTAACAGTTCTTTTCGTTCACCTACACTCGCAAGACGCCAACGCTAAACCGTGCGTGCGAGCTATAAAGCAAATAACGACGCACGCAAACAGATTAACCCAGAATCGGTCAGTAGTCATTCAAGGTAGACATGGCGTTAAATAAAATATTGGATATAAGGTTAATTTTATAGAAAATAATTATTACAATGCTTATTTTTAGACATGTGAAGCCACAATTTTAATGTCATATATCAAAAGAATACAAGTATTGATATTTTTAAGGAATATTTTCATTCGAATAACACTGCTTTGTAAACCGCCATCTACTCCATTCAACAGGTATTAAAGTCATTTTGTCAAACGAAAGTTAATTGACTCTCAAGGTGGTACGTAAAGAAGACGTTAGATGGCAAAAATATAAAATTATAAATCACTAAGGTAAGAAATCATTCGCAGACATGAAGCTAATACAAAGGGGAGACGGCATAAGCAACTGTGCACTGTGATTCTAAGCAGGTCCTGACGTCATCATAGTGGGCGTGGCTTTAGTTAGTATACTGTCAGCATTCGTCCTATGCGCTCATGTGTTGAACAAATCGCAAATCGATGTATTTTCGTAGTATTAAGAAGAAAAGGATGAAGTGTTGTGTTTTATTGTGTAAAAACTACTCAGATAGACGCTCTGATGTTATGGATGGCATCACATTTCACTTGTAACTAATTTTACACCTAATTTATTAAATTAGTTCTAGAAAAATCTCTTTGCGTTGGCTTTCAAATATAATTAAATATATTCGACACTAGATGGCGACACTTTGTGTCATGTGAACTAAAAATATAAAGGTCCGTAGAGCTCAGTATTGGTAAAATAAACATAAGAAGGTGCTGAAATTTGTTTTGCATTCAGATATAAAGTAATTTTAATCGCAAAATATTATTTTTATAGTTTATAATCATTATGTGAACAGGCCGTATTCTATCGTCAAGTAAACCTCATAAAGATAACAAAAAGACAGTGCCGTAATTAGAATTCAATTATTTTATTCAGTAATCCAACTTTCAATATTAAAATGAAGGAAATTGTACTTAGGCTGATTTTCATGAAATGTTTAAGTTATATTTAAGTGACATTCTATATGCAAAGAATCACTTAAATACAATTTAATGTTCTTAGATTGGCATTCAAAAGGTGCATTCGGATGCCTAATTTGGAATAAAATATTTATATTTTAATTGATTTGTAAATAAAATTATATTAATTATAATAATTTGTCTATTATTTGTTCTCCCTCAGAGATATTAAGTAGTATAACCCAGAGATAAATAATAGTCCAGCCGTTTCTGCGTGAATTAATTACACATACACAGTACATACTTAGTGTGGAATAAGCTCAAGGAGGCAGAAAGAACACACAAAATTTCGCCTTTATAATATTAGTGAGATAAATAGGATATTTAGTTCCAAATTAAATATCCTACTTAATATTGAACATAGAATATTTAGTTTCAAAGAGACTTTATTTTATGGATATAATAAATATTTCTTGAAGGTTGATTTTCACGAAATGATAAACATATTTAAATTGTATTTAAGTGATTCTTTGCATATAGAATGTCAGTTAAATATAACTTAAACATTTCGTAAAAATCAGCCAAGTACAATTTCCTTCATTTTAATATTGAATGTTGGGTTACTGGGTAAAATAATTGAATTCTAATTGCGGCCCTGTCTTTTTGTAATTTTTTATGAGGTTTACTTGACAATAGATGGCGGCCTGTTCCCAAAATTATTATGAAAACTATAAAAATA